GGGGAGCAGGGGGTTACAGCACACATCAGATGCCATGAAACTATCCGAGCAGGTAACAGGCTCAAGCCCAGAGAGGTCAGGGTGGTGCCTCAGGGCCTCTGGTACCGAGGGGCTGGGGGGACATGGCTTTCCCTGAGGGTGGGACGAGCAAAACCCTGCGAGTGGCAGCGTGGGACATGGGAGCAGCGAGGGCAGCATTGGCGAGCGAAGGGAAACAGAGAGGTGAGGTGAATTCAAAGCAGCTGTGGGAGCATTTGTAGAGCCGAATCCTTTCTTGCCTCAGCACTGGCAGCTCCAGGCAATAATTTCATATTTCACCAGATCTTTCCACGTGGGGATCACTGAGCATTTTACAGACACTTGCCAGCCAGTCCCTGGGTCCCTCCTGTCACACACCCCTCCCAGGTAGCAAACCACAAATGCAAAGAGCTTTTTTTTCCTCCTGGGCAAGGTGCAGAGGCCAAGACAACTGCTGGTAGTGCCTGCTGTGCTGAGCCTCACAGGGCTGTCACCCCATTACCCCACCTCAGGACCCATGACTGCTCCCTCCAGAGGAGCCGTGGCTGGGAGCAGCTCTGCGCCCCGCAGCTACAAACCCACCAAGAGCAGCGAGGGGCTCTCTCATCCTCATCGGCACTAGTTATGGGCTGTGGAGAGAATAAGATAAGGCACTCCGGGCTGGAAACAAGAGGAACAGCTTTATGAGAGGGTGGCCAAGCTGCAGCCAGCCCAGTGGCAATGCAGGGTCCAGGTCTCTGATTCACAGCCAGCCATCTTTGCATTTGGAAAAACTTCACAATAACCTTAAAAAACTGAAATTGTTGCTATTATAGCAACAGAGCAGAAGGACCGGGAACGCTGAGAGTTGATGTGATTTCCTGGGAGCCAATCCCTCCTCCCCATGTGACCAGGGGTCCCTGCCACACCAAAAGCGAAGCAGAGCAGGGGCAGAGGGTCAAACCCATGGGACAAGGCTCCAGCTTCACCACAGGGTCATGGATGAGGCATGTCCCTCCATCCCAGGACAGGGCTGGGAGCTGATCTCGGCTCACAGTGACTCCAGGTTGTTGCTCCCTCCTGCTGAGGGCACCCCGGGGGTCTGCAGCAGACGGGCACCGTCAGCTCTCTAGCAGCTGAGGTTTTATTATAGAGGCTGTGAAGTGCCTCGACAAACTCTTCACCTCTAGCAGCATGGTGCTACAATTCACAGGGCTCAACCCAGCAGCATCCCCGGCAAATGGGGCCCTTCGCTCCCAAGTGCTAATTGCAGCGGGTGTCCCAGTTGCCCAGGAAAATCACCCTCGTTTCGTTCAGAGCAGCCGAAACTGAGTCAGAGATGGAGACAGTCCTTCTTTGTTATTCCATACTGCTTCCCATTAGGTAGCATTAATTTGATGAGCTTCAGTGAACCAGAGGTGCCTGAAGGAATTTAAGGTTAAATATACCGAAAAGGAAAATATGGGAGGTCAGCGTTTAATTAGCATCTTTTCTGTTAGGTCAGGATCAGAGGCTTTGGCAGTCTCTCTGGAGGAGAACTCTTGCTCCTAGTTTCATGGGCAGGAACATCTGGGGGTGCTGCTTTTATCTGGGCTCTTTGGGGGCTATTTTTAGCAGAAAGGCCATAAGAAATTGGACGTATGGTTGTGAGTATATGAGCCCACTCATGGCTCTGTAGGAAAACCTCATAACCCAAGTCAGCAGCTGCTGATAGTATTTTTATCTAAAAAGAGAAGCATTTTGGGGCTATTTAGACCAGATCCTCACTTGTAAGCATCCCAGCAAAACATCACCCCCAGCAGCATCAGCTCCTTCACACAGAACAGGAGCAGCACAGCCACTGCCTGTGGGATGAGGGCTCCTGCCAACCACAAGTCACTTCATCCATTTGCCCCCAAATTCCTGGTGAAAAATAACAGCAAGAATCCTTCCTCCCTTTGCTTATTTACAGTGCAGCAGATTTAAGGTCAGGGCCATATTTTAATGCAGCACCAGCAAAATAAATGGTTGACAATAAGATTCATATCAGGCAGATGTTACTAACTTAGAAAAGCTGGAAAACAAGAATTCTGGATCAGAAAAAGTGTTTTGCGCTCTTTGGATTTTTTTCTGTGCCAACAAAACTGGAGCCTTTTTATTTACTAGCTGAGACCCACTGCAGAACTGCCAGGAAAAGCACTTGTCAGAATCTTGCAGAAGCTGGCACTGCTCTGCCAAAAAGTTTCACTTCCCCAAGTGGACACTTTCCAACTAGAAATAATTAATTGCAAAAACTCCAGACAGTTTCCCAAGTTTTTTATTCCAGGATGCTACTGAAAAAGATAAAATATGAACTGCATAACTCCCACTGACTCAGCTGGTGAAAAGCAGGTTTTTTCCTTGAAGAGCTTCATCCCAAGGTGCAATGCTGCCTCACCTCCAGCGATCCCCAAATTTGAGACACAAAGCTTGGGACTAGGACAAGATTGGCAAGAGATGTCCATGCAAGGAAGATTCTTGGGCGGGGCTGGAGCTCCATCAAAGTGTTTTAGACAGCAGATTGGATCAGATCAGTGCTGGCAGCAGATGCTCTTCTTGCTGCAGAGCATTGAAGGGCTCCATTTCATCAAAAGCTGATAACTTATCAAAAAGCTTAGCAATGTTAGGAGACACCTCACTGAAAGGCATGGTCTTGAAACACACCCCCTTGGCACATCCATAAGCTAATACTGCTGTCTGACCTGAAAAAGCAAGTGAACCTCTTCAGCTCTTGGCAAGCAGCTGGGTTTGGAGGGTGTCCATCAACACCCAAGAGGCTTGTCTGAAGTTGATGCCAACAGAGAAGAGCTGAGGAGATCCCCATCACACACAGAGCTGGATGCTTCCCAGGACAGAGCTGCCTGTGGAGCCCCTCCGCTGGTACCCAAGGGCTGTGTTGCCGAGAGCGAGGGATGGGGAGTGCTCCCCAGCTGGTGGTCAGTGCTGGGGCTCAGGATGAGCATCCTGGTGCTCACCAACACTGAGTTTCCCCTTTCCAGCTCGGGGCCATGGGGAGGGACAGCAGCATGGCTTTACCCATGCTGGTGCTGCCAGAACAGTGGGCAGTTATAGGGGATGGGGAGCCCCAGGACCCCCCGGGGTGGCTCTGGGAGAAGCAGCCTGTGGAGAAGCCAAGGGGTTCAAAGCGCCAGCTGAGCCAGACCTCCATCCCACTACAGCCTCGACACATCCACCAGCCCACGTCCTCTTTATTGAATAAACCCAAAGAATAAGAACTACACATGGGATTTGGTGGGCAGAGGAGTGTATCAGGGGCTCAGGCAGTGCTCCTGTGTGATGCTGCGATGCCTCAAGTCACCCATGGCTTTAGGAGCATGTCCTTAAGCCCTGACACCACAGTCATTGCGGACAAACAATCCCACCTTTGTGTGATTTGCAATATTTATCTTTCATTACCAGATGAAAAAGTCTCATGCTTAGCATCCACCTTCAAAACAAGCAGATCCTGGGAGGGTTTTCAGTCTCTGTGTGTCTGGGGGATGCGTGGAGGTGGAGGGGATGGTGTGTACTGGTGGACATGGAGATCATTTAATAACTGGGCAATATTTTACACACAGAAATATTTTTTTAAAGTGTGTATCACGAATTTCCAAGTAAAATTTTAAACACTAGTTGAAGCACGTTGGAAGCGACATCCTTTCACACAGAGGGCTCTACTCTTTCTAAATCCTGTAACAAAACCAAGCTGGTTTACAGCTTCAAATCTTCTGCCATGTATGTTTGGAGTCAGGATGCCACAGCAGCAGCCGGCAGCAGCCCTCCAGCAGCCAGCACTAACAGATAAGAGTTATCTTGGGTTTTTTTTCCCCTCCTTGATTAGTTATGGCAAAGCTCCCGTGGATTAGGTGTCTGGCAGGAAAGCTGAGCTCGTATCGATCCTTTTTCTCATGAACTGGTCAAACAACACTTAAGGAGTCCCTGTCCACTCACATTCCTATACAAATCTAACAGGGTGCAAAGACTTGGAGCAGTGACTCTTGCTCACACCAGCCC